TCAAAAAATTTTTATAATAAAGGCAAAAATATGTGACAAAATATTTATAAGAAAAACCTCATCATTAAATGGAATTAAATTATTTTATTGCAAAATTATCAATAAATTCTGGTGACGAATCATTTCTTATTTAAAAATCATTGATGATGGTGCTGAAAAAGCCATGAAAACCAAAAAATACAATAATAGAATATTTAAGATTTAATGATTTGAAAGATTTATTATTTGAATTCTGATGGTTTTCAATTTAATTTTCTTGAAAGAAATCAATTCGAATCACTTAAATTTATGATTTTTTTTCGTTTATTCTATGTAATCGATATTATTAACTATATTGGTTGAAAAATTCTATATGGTATCGAGTTTAATGACAGATAATGAATTTTAAGGGTCAGTATAAATGTCAATATATAAAAACAGTAAGAAAATAATAGCATAAAATGATTTGAAAGATAAAAAGTGAATCGATTTATCGTTGAAAAACATTTCATAAGATGAATCCTTTGCAAGGTAACAGTTTTGTTAAATAAAAGTTTATTGCATATACCAAAAGTTCCCAAAATGAAACACATTTCATTTGAGTGCCCACATCTTACGACACACACGTAATAAATAGTAACTATGTATTTTGTATGCGTTAAAGCATTTTACAAAATTTTTAAATTCACTGACCACTCAACTACTTTATTATTATTTACTATTTTAATTCATTTTATTTGAATCAGGAATTTTAATTATAAAATCTGATGAAAGGTAGTTGTCATGTCATTGTCACAATATCTTTAAATGAGTTGAAGTAATAAAGTGACATTTTCACTCTTATATAATGAACTATCAAGTTGTATGCAAATGTACAAATTGATTGTTTGATTTCAATGAAGCATAGGATATTTCTTTCTGTTTTGGAATGAATATCCGTTGATATATACATAAGAATTATTCATTTATCCGCGCACATTTCTATATATTCGTATTTATACATATGTGCATTATGTGACTAAATACCTAATAATGTGTTTAATAAAAATTTTATATTAATAAACTTTCATCCACCATTTTTACGAAATCAGTATTCCTTTTTTAGGCAAAATATTATTTTTTGTGTATTTCTTGTGCTTTTCAAATGAAAATTAAACATTTTTGGAATATTTGATTAACACACAATTTGCTATGCTCAGCATTATAGTGTAGTATCTTTTGTTTATTGTATATAGCTTGTGCTTATTTTGATAGTGTCATCTATTAGGAAATTATGTAACAAAATATTGTATAAAAATATCAATGACAGAAACATTGCTACTGTCACTTTACATATTTAACAAAACTGCTTGTATAAATATGCCATGTATATTTAATAAAAAATTATAAAAATAAATAAATTGAAAGCTGTGAATATTTTTTTAATTTTTTGAAGATTTCTGAATGAAAAGTGAAAATAAAAAGTAATTTATTATTAAAAATATCCTAAAGGGTTTTGTTTTTATTATTTTTTTTTTTTGTTTTCTAGGTATTTTAAATTTAATTACATAATTTAACTTTGCCATGTAGATTTAGCCAATCGATTAATTTAATATTTATAGTAAAATTTAATTTGTTAAAATTATACTTTTTTTTTATTTTTTAAATAAATTTTAATAATATCGGATATTTTTACAAATTAATTTGTCCAAAAAATAAAAATTTTATAAGGCTTTTCTATGAATTATTCATTAGAAATTTTACTAAAAATTATAAAAAAAACCTAATATTTCTCTTTCATTTCTAAAATCAAATTATGTAAAGTCAAGATTAAATTTAAATTTTTTTTTTGTAATTTTGACGGAACTAAAATTTTTAATGATTCGACTGTCATAATTTATTTATAGGAATTAATATTTGAATGGTATATGCAACTATAGGTATTGAAAAAAAAGTGTTGTCTTCTTCGATTACAATATAAGTTAGACATAAAAAAGATAATATGATAAAATTATAATTTATTATAGAAATTAAAAAATAAAATGTTTAATTTATGATTTTTGGTTATCGTTTAAAAAATATTCAAATTTTATAATACATATGTACATACTGTGATTGTTACAAAATTAACCAAAATTTAATTTAGTTGTAAGGTATAACACATTGGTTGAATAAACCTATAAAAGTATTCATTACTAATATTATGTGATATTTGATGGTTAAAAAACATGATTATGCAAAAGTTTTACAGTTTGTATTTCATCCAAAAATGTCTTTAAAACAACATTTTAGGTTTATGCTTAGGAGGCCCGCGCATTGACAGCTTCCAAAAATCGTGAAACGCTTAAAGCTCACTCTTTTTTGTTTCACTGATACATAACGTTTATGGGTGTGAAGAACGATTCGATTAACCTTAACTCTTGACATCCAGATGTCAGTAATTGTCTTGTTTAGCCCTTTCGTAGAACTGCAGTTGACGTACTCAAGTAAATATATCTTATCTCTTTAGACTATTACAATCCTGATTTAAAAATATTTTTCCGCTTCCATTTTAAGAATTGCTATTCTCTTATCTTAAGTTTGGAATTTCATTTTGTTCAACTATAGTGTGCCTAATATAAAAGAAAACACTTTTAATATAATTCTAATAAGAAAATTTTTCTTTCATTCAATTTAGTGTCGGTCATTCAGTCTGTATATACAACAGCCATATGCATACATAAAAATTTTCATTTAAAAAAAAAGTTAGATTTCTCTCTAAATCACAAAATCAACGTCATTTCAAGTTTAAAAGTGACTGAAAATTAACCCATTCGTACGCAATGGTGTGCATGTGTATGCATATAAAAATATACAATTTAATTACGAATTATAGTACGCATATGATTATAATTCAAAATGAAGTTACAATTATATTTAATTTTAAAAATAAATCTAATCAAATAACAACTATTACTAAAACACCATAACCACAAATTAATTGGTATGTACATACAAAAAAAAAATTTTTTTTAACCTCATCAATAAGCTTACCATTGAATTACAAGTGTTGTTTTATATTACCTTTTATTATAATAGTTTTTTCTTTAAATTTTTATATCTCTATATTTGAGACTTTGAGAAAGTTTTTCATATTCATTTACGCTTAAAATTAACTATGATTTTTTTTGCTTGAATATTGTACCAAAGAAAAACTTGAATTAGAAATGTGTAATTAATAATTACATTTAATTATAAATTTTACATGTTCATACAACAATTTAAATGATATACTGATATACTTAATTATTTCTGGTTATTTAATGATTTTATAGTAAACATAGCAATTTGTTAGGGCATCTGCAGAAATAATATTAAATCTAAGTCCTTTGTTAATGAATTTGTTTGGGTGCAATCAAACTTGTTTAACTAAACATTTATAATACAAAATTTTGTATGATAATTGTGCATGATTGATTTAAAAATAAATAAAACGCTGATAATTTCAATTTTATGGGAAAATGCAAAGATAATTACTTAGTTATATTGGAAATAGATTGTTTTTGTACACATATGCAGCAAACTCAAGTGAGCACATAATGATTATGATTATTTTATAACAACCTTATGATTACAAATACCTATACTTGTTGTCGAGAGTACTTTATGTAAATTTGAAATTTTTCCAATTACACGTTAGCCCTCCTCCACGTCACACATTTTGGTATATATTATCAATTATTTTTTGTCATTTTTATAATCATTACAACAATATTTTAGGCATGGTAAGCTACATACACTGAAGAGCCTAAGTGTAACAATAAAATGCAATTCTTTGAAGAGAGTTTTCTTACTCAATACCATTCTTAAGTGAAATTGGCCAAAAATTTCTGTAATTTAGTAGTCCACTGGTCAAAACGAAACCTTTAGATGAAAACATAAAAAATCATATATTAAGTTTAAGCAGAAACGGGAAGTCTACCTGTGAAATTTCCAAGAATAAATTTGTTTAGCATTGCAAGTCCTTCGAATTAAGTGCTAAAAGTTCTTCCATCAGTTTATTTTATTGGACGAGCGAATATATTTATTATACTCTGTATTTAATTAATAGTGATTTAATTTCCATTTTTAGCATTCCTGTATATAAAAACTGGGTGCGTTTCTGAAGAGTATGTTTGCGTAAACTATGTATAGGTCATTGAATATTTGAATATGTAATTCAACCGTGAAATAACATATTGTGCTGCCATTCTTATATTATGATTTTTTAATATAAAATGAATTAATTTTAAAGACTAGAAATTTCAATGATTTAGCTATGTTTTGTACGTACGTATGAATGCGTACAATGTGAGCATTTTGATACATAAATATGATACAATTTAATATTAACATATGACCGTAAAATCAAAGAATACCGCAGATAATAGGCACAAAAAAAAGTTGCAAAATGGAAATAGCTGAAATTTTAAAACGCTTACTTTTACTTTAAACTAGATTAGTAGTTCAATCGGTTAGGAAATTTTTATTAATAGAGATTTTAGAGTAAAGAAAACTAAATATTAAAATAACTTAAGATAAAGTTTTTTTTTGGATTAGCCAATATGACAAATTGAAAGTAAATTATTTTTAATTTTAAATTTTTATTTTAATTAAATCTATAGAAAAAATAAAATGATTTGAGTTATAAATTGAATTAAGATTGAATTAATGAGTAAAAATTTTTTGTTTTAACAAAACCTGCTCTAAAACATTTTGCTGTTTTTAATTTCATCTTAATTATACTGCCTCCGTCAAATGGTATGCATTTCGACTTTTTATTCGTATGAGTTTTCATTGTATTTATTGCCAAATCCAACGCCTAATTATTATTTAAGGCTAAGAGATGGCGTGCCTGTTGTTGTGTTATTATAATTCTTATGTGAATGCGTTTGTACTTTTTTTCATTATTTCGTCTTGAACTGTAGCCTTGTTTAGTACAAGTTAAATATTTGCTTTCAAAAAATTCCAATAATATGAAATAAATTTATAATTATTAATTTTATTATTTTTTCTATTTTTAGGTTGGGAACTCCGTGGTTTATATTGCTATAAATATTTTAATATAAAACATTCATGGGAGAAAGCAGCTGAACTTTGTAGACGGTAAGTTAAATTCATTATACTTGCAATATATAATTTTACTTATAAGTATTAAACATTGAATTAATTGTAAGAAATTATAATTTGTTCTATATAAAAGATTCATTGTTCAATTGATTCCCAGGTATTTAATCGAGATCATAAACAACAATATTAATTATGTATTTAAAGTCGGTATAATATTTTCATCGTATATAAATTAAGTACAGTCCAGTTTTACAACTGCTGGTATAATACTTGCAAACGGTAAATTTTTGTTCTAACTTTCAAAAACTCTATTATTAGTGAATACAAATGTGTCAACAATACCATTAATTTATTTTCATGTACAATAAAAAAATAAATTTTTAATTTTATTTTGTATAGAGTTTAGAATTTAAGAATAAAATGCATATACAATATACATAATCATCTTAATAATATAATTCTTTTCACCATACACCATATACACGGTAATTACAAAATAATTCTAATGGAAAGAAACTATTGTATAACATGCAATGGCATTTTGATATATCAACCGTGACACAGTAACCGATCCATTGTTAATTTCTTTAAGAAAACAATGAATGATTGTATGAAAATATTATCAAACAAGTGTCTTGAAAAATTCTCGTACATATAGATACATATATGTATGTATATTTGCATATATGTACAAGTTAATTGCATTTATATGCAATGACATTATTCTATTTAATCACGATACGTACGGATATATACATATGTGTAGTTGTAAATTAACAAATGACAGAAAAATTTTTGGTACACGTATATTATTATGTATGTCTCAACACACGCCTTAAATATCATGTGGAGTTGTAGAGTACTATGTACATATACAAATGATATACTTTTATGTCACATTGACTTGCTTTACTTTTTGACAATAACGTCTATTATAAATATCATTTGACATAAAATCTTATAATTATAATAATAATTTTTTATAAAAGAAAGAATTTAAAAACCCGAACAATCGACTTACTTTTAAAAAATAATTGGATATACATGAATATATATACAATAATATACATATATTATAACATACATATATGTTATGTTATTGTGTATAAAATATAAAAACTCGTGCATTTCTTTATCAAATGTTCTAAATTTTTATAGAAAAACAAGAAAATATGTCATTATTTTATTAATGGATAACAAGAGATAGAAAGAAAAATTCTATATAATAAAAAAAATTAAAATAATTTAATTATATTATTGCTGCAATGAGAAAACCTGTACAAATTAACAGTATCCATACAGATATTGTTACCATTTCATCAATCGCAATGTTGGTACCATCAATGACAAGTTTATTTTTTGAATTTTAAATTTATCTTATACCAATAGAGTTTACATTATTTTATTAACCCGAAACACGCCGCCAAATTTTCTCCAAAAAAAAATTAATTGTTTAAATTGAAATACTATGAAAAAAAGAAAACAATAAATCAAATCAAATTTATAAATTCGAATTTGACAATTAGTTGTCAAAAGTGAATTGCAAAATTTTACAAAATGCTACTTTTATTTAGTAAAGTTTTTATTTTATTGTAACTTTTATGAATTTTTAATGTATGTACGTTTTTAATTAAATCCAGATTTAAATTCTTCAGAATAGAATCAGTTTTATCTCAAAGTTTTTGAAAAAAATTTAATTTAATTTTGACAGAATTTTAAACAAAACTGTTGAACCTTTGTTCAACAGTTGAAACCTTTATTGAATTATGCCAGTTAATTACATTTTATTTCAATATTCTTCTTAAATTTCAAGAATATTTTTTACAATCAGTTTTCAAATTTTAAAGAATTCAATTCTTATATGGTCACTCTAAAGAGAAAAGCTTATTATACAAAAGCATAATATGTGCACGATAATAACGTGATAACTTGAATTTTTTATAATTTAAATTTTAAATTATTCTTTATATATAAAAAGAAATACACATAATTAATTTCCTTTAACTTTTTCCTCATATTTAATGCAATCCACCATATCTATGGAAGAAAAGAAATAAAATTCAAAAACTTGTTTTAAAACTAAAATACTAAAATTAATTTATTCTTTTATAATAATTTTCATAATGAAACAAACACAGAGGAAAATAAAGTAAAAAAAAAAGATATTTAATATGTTGAAAGTAATTTTAACAGTTAGAATGTGGTTCTATGCCACTTCCAACATAAAAGTGGTTAAACTAGACTTTTTTAATTTTTGTGTTTGTTTTATTTTTTTGCATAAATTTTTTTTGCGTTGGTGTTAGGCAAGTAATTCAAGTAGGTACATATGTAGATTTACTTAGACATGTTTTTCATCTTGGTTATATTGTGGTTATAAACACCGTAATACATTCTCGTACATACTTGATAGTAATTTATGATTTTGTTTAAACGCAAATGATCGCGGTCAAATCTTAATATAGCAAAAGGTATTTTTGGTTGTATCAATTTGTATAATTACTGGTATTTATAGGAATACTGGAAATGTCTTCTATATGTACATACATTCAATATATTTTTTTAAAATTATGCTAATTTTTCAAATATTTATGTATGTACATAATATGTGCTTTGAAATCACCTTGAAACACCTTTCAAATAAAATCTTAAATCATAAATGATAATTATTTAATATGTAGAATTGTATAATAATGCTATTATGTAAATAAGAAAATAGGTGAATTTTAATAGTAAACTAATCAATATTTAAACAAAAATTTTTTTTTTTTATATATAGAAATTAAAAATTAAAAATTTTTATATTTCATGCCAAAAATTAATGTCACAATTAAACTCGCATTAAAATGACATCTGTATGCGAAGAGAAAAACTTCATTGCAATTGAGTTTTTCTATTAATGTTGCGCCTGTTTACACGAGTATGTATGTAGTGCAAAGCCTTTATGCTATGATTCTCACACCGTTTTTTCTATAAAGTTAAATTTTCATTGTGTGAAGCACAACGTAATTGCTGATCGTAGGCTTAATGCATAAAGAAATTGCTCAAACAGTGACAATTTATTATTATTTATAATAAAACATATTATATATTACATGTGCACTAATTTAATCCGAATACAGCTCCACCATTTGACATATCAATTTAATATTATATAAATAAGCAAATAAGTTAATATCAATAACGTGTAACATTTGTTTAACGTCAATTTATTGTCAACTGTTTATATACTAATATAAAACAAATTCTTGAAAACGACAATCTTTCAATCATATTGTCTATTTAACTAATACTTTTTGATTTAATCAATTTTTTCAAAAGGACATTAATATTTTTTTGCTACTTTTAATCACGTCATTTGATTAAAATATGACTGTATCGTTCAATAATAATAACATCAGTACAATAATTTTAAGCATTTTTACTCTGAAGTTTCTACTTCAATGTCATTATAAATTTACTTGAACCACAAAAAATATATGCGTACAATAGTAGAGGTTAACATTTATGAAAATGTGGGCGCGGAATTATAAGGTATAATGGTGAAAGTGAAATGAAAACAAAAATTTTTTATGTAAGTATCAAGGGTACAATTTTGCGTATAATTCTATTAATTTTTATTTATTCCAATTTTAATTAATTCTTTTTAATATTAGATTTTTTTTTATTGAACTGAAAATGAAAAGCGCGCAATCAAACAAACAAATACAAAAAAATCTCATTAAAGTTATATTTCTTGTAAACTTTTAAACTTTGCCTCTTTTATTTTATTCTTTTGCCCTAAAAAAGATATTTTTTTTTTTTTGTTGACTGCCATACCCATAACTCTAACTACGTTTTATGACAAATATTTCAAATATTTTTTTTTCAATTTGCAATCTTTATTTCATTCTATCTCCTCTATCTGCTCAGCCGTATTCTCCTTATTTTCAATTCATTATTTGCATCAGATTATTATAATGCTCTTCATTTTCAAGAAAAAATGACAAAATATTTTTAAAAAATATAGAAAACAATAACAAAATAAATAAATCAAAATGTGAAATAAACAATAAAAGAAGAATAAGAAAAATAAAAAGTCAAAAACTAGGTTGACCCAATAAAGAACTTTCTTCAAATAAATTTTTATCACTTTTCCTTGTAGGTGAAACCATCGAGCCGTTGTTATTGTGCGCATAATTGTTTGAACTTTCATTTCTTTCATTGTATACCAACCATACCAAAATCTACCAATACCTACCGTAACATATTATTCATACCTCAGTTAATCTTTAATATTATGTACTTAAAAGAATTTATACATTAAAAATTTTGGTAGGTACTTTAAGTACTTTTTGTTTGATTAAAACTTTAAAATCAACAAAAGAACAAAAAACAACAAAATCTATTTTCTTAACAAATTTTTGACACTACAAATAAATACCTACATATTTGAAACATAGTTGAACTATTAAGAGAAAAAAATTCTTTATTTCTTTGCCATCTCTGTTTTGTTGTGCTTTTGTTTTGTTTTTGTTTACTGTTAAAGATGAAATTTCACTTACATTTTAGGGTTTTAACATTAATTTAACTTTGTGGTGTTTTTTTTTTAAGATCTGCAATTAAATGAATTATGATTTTATTAATGTATGTATAGTGTTTACTTAGGTAAATTAGGGAGAAAGAAAAGAAATAATGATTTTTTAATCATTAAATGCATGTGAAATCTTTATCGCGTGTTTACTGTTTGATTTCAACTGTCATTGAATTATGATTAATGTGAGTATGAAAAATGTAACTTAATTTATGTAAGATATGCCAGAATTAATCTTCTGACATTAATTTTAAAGTCATTTTAGTAGCAAAGTGTTCATGGTAAAAATTTGGCCTACTTAAGTGGAATATATTGCAAGAAAGGGCTGTATTACACTTCTAACACTCATCAACTTCAATAGCCTGTACTAAGGAATTGTTGAAATGGAAAGAATAGTTGATGGAAACTATCTAGCGTTGTGTTTGAATTAATTTGGTGCACACTTATACAGTAGAAAAATGAATTT